TGAAACTTAGCGTTTATTGCTTCAACCACTGATGTTTCAGGGAATTCTTCTTGACTTTGCATTAAAATGTATTATTCTTGAAAATTGGTTGTGAAATATACAGGAACTACTAACGAACACACCAAATGAAGCACAAAGGAATTTTTTCCCTGCAAACTTCTCTTAGCAAAGCTTGACTCGCTAAGCAAAGCCAAACAAAAGCCAACCCCTCTAATTTTTCTTGAAGTGAGATGCAGGGAAGTAGAGAAAAATGAAGTTGGCTAAGCGAGATACATCGAGATGCAGCGAAGAGAAACAAAAGAAAACTCTCAAAACTTCACTTTAAGTGAGTGGTAGCGAAGCAAGTTCCTTTAGTGAACCGTATTTCGCTAAGCGAAATAAAGTGGTTTCAAAGGGCAGTTTGAAAATACTTCAGGGTGAAGAAATGACACTTTGCTTAGGGAACCTTATTTCGCTAAGTGATGTAAATTAAGTTCAGACAATATAAAAGGAGATGAAAAACACATTTTGAGGGGTTACTTATAAGAGAGAGTACAATTTTTCGATTAATTATATTTTCAAAAATTATTACAAAGGATTACAAATGAGTTAAATAAAAATAGTTACTCGAATTTCCAAAAAGAAACCTTATTTTCCACTGCTAGACCACCATTATGGATTGATACCATGACTGCCACCAACGACCACATTCCCTCATCTTCGCGGAGCGCCAACAATGGCCTGCCAGCAACTTCCACGACCATAACCAACCATCACCAGATCTCTTTTGTCATACTCGCTGGCGTTGCCGGTCCTGCGACGTCGAATATTATAAGTCCTAAAAATATTTTTTTTTTCTCTTCATCACTTGAAATGTTAAGATATACTTCTATACTTTTGAGTTATATAAATTTTTAAGGAAATTTAAAGTTCTTTAGCTAAATTCAATTTTTTGGATAATTTTTTTTTTAGAATTTCTAAAATTATTAAAATTCAAATTATATCTAAAAAAAACTAGTCTTAAAACTCCTGCTTACTATATTAAATGTATATGCTAATATAGTTCTTATTAACATTTTAAATTTTAAAAAAGTGGATCCCTATATTTGTCTAAATTTTCAAATAATCCTATTTTTTTTTTTTAAATTACAAATTGATCTCTAAAATTTTTCAAAATTAAAAATTAATCCTTTAAATTTTTAAATTTGCAACTAGTACATGTTTTTCCAAAATCTTAATTTGACTTAAATTTTTTAAATTTATTAGATTAGTAAAAAAATAGTTATGAGGAATTTTATAACTACCTAATAAAAGAATTTAAAAATAACAAAAAAAAGTTAATTGAAGTATTTAAATTATATAAAATTACGAATTACTTAATCCAAACACAACATTTAGTTATATTTTAAGGGATGTTCTTCCTTCTTTTTTCTATACAATGCGTCATATTTGTTGTCTTATATTTCTATTGATTTTGTAAGGATACAAGAATGAATAGAAGTATGGAAGAAATAGAGATAAGGTGAAAGGGCATCGAGAACATGAATGAACACTATGATTTTAAGAGAAAAAGAAATGGCAGAATAACACTTTCAATCTAAACAGAGGGGGACTATTTTGTCCCTTTTGTAAGAAACCAACATCTCACTTTTTTTTAAAGAGCCTAAGTAGGGGATATGAGCAAGGTTTTTTTTTAGATGGTACTTAACCGTCATTAAATGTTACTATTTATTTTGTGATATTATTAATGTTGTTAAAAAAATTTTAGTGACGGTTTTTAACAGCCACTAAATATTAATGTATATTTTGTAATGTTTTTTTATTGTCGCAAAAAAATTTTAATGACGGTTTTTAACCATCATTAAATATTACTGTTTATTTTGTGACGCTTTTTAGTGTCACTAAAAATTTATTATTCATTAGTGACGGTTAAAAATTGTCGTTAATTATTAAAAAAAAATTGACATTGCTCGTCTAAAAGATTTATTGAGGTCTTTCATAGTAGATGACACCCTAAATAAAACAATATGTTGGTAGATAACACTTTATATGAAGTATTGGTAGGTTATCCAAGATCAATCGGATAAATGGTGATAGTCTTTACATTTACATGCTTATACATTTACATGCTTATAGTTAATATCTCGGATATGAATTAGATTATAGGTATGCGACAATGTAAAAAATTTTAAAAGAAAAATTTTACTGTCTATTGTGGTTATTATCTATTAAAAATATTTTAAAGTTTCACATTGATTGACATAAAGTATTAAAGTAGTTTATATAAAATTACACCCCTTATTTTATCAATTAATTTTGTAGGATTGAGTTAAACCAACCATAAATTTAACATCAGAGATTAATATTTACAGTTGTATTCAGATGATCAAATGGGACTATTCATACAATTATGGGGGCAATTATTTCATTCATTCTCAAATACTATGTTATCATATTTAGACTTGCATGAAATTGTTATGCTTTTTCAAAGATTTTAATTTGAAAAAAAGCGAATATTTCTACCATAGAAAATTGCATTATCACCTGAGATTGCTATATTGTTTTAGTACACACTAGTACAATCCATTGATGTGAACATAAATATTAATGTATATTTTGTAATGTTTTTTTACCGTTGCAAAAAATTTTTAACGACGGTTTTTAACCATCACTAAATATTAGTGTTTATTTTGTGACGCTTTTTAATGTCATTAAAAATTTATTATTCATTAGTGAAAAATTGACATTGCTCATCTAAAAGATCTATTGAGGTCTTTCATAGTAGATGACACCCTAAATAGAACAATATGTTGGTAGATAACACTTTATATGAAGTATTGGTAGGTTATCCAAGAGCAATTGGATAAATGGTGATAGTCTCTACATGCTTATAGTTAATATCACGGATATGAATTAGATTATAGGTATGCGACAATGTAAAAAATTTAAAAAAAAAATTTTAAAAGAAAAATTTTATGTCTATTTTGGTTATTATCTGTTAAAAATATTTTAAAGTTTCACATTGATTGACGATAAAGTATTAAAATAGTTTATATAAAATGACACCCCTCATCTTACCAATTAATTTTGTAGGATTGAGTTAGACCAACCATAAATTTAATATCAGAGATTAATATTTACAGTTGTATTCAGAAGATCAAATGGAACTATTCACACAATTATGGGGCAAGTGCCCTACTAATAGTTCATTCATTCTCAAATACTATGTTATCATATTTAGACTTGCATGAAATTGTTATGCTCTTTCAAAGATTTAAATTTGAAAAAAAGTGAATATTTCTACCATAGAAAATTGCATTATCACCTGAGATTGCTATATTGTTTTAGTACACACTAGTACAATCCATTGATGTGAACATAAATATTTTTTTTAAGGCAATGAAATTTCATGAACTCTTATAGATGTTAGTTTTAATATTTTATTGAATTGATTTAATTAACTAGTTACAAAAGATTATTAGAACATAAATATTTTTTTTTCTAATTGTTTTATGGTCGAAGAGTCGAAATCGCACTACTGCAAAAGAAAACAAGTGTTGGTAGGTTACTTTTCCATAATTTTTTTATTATACTATTGTGAAGCTTCATTTCATCATACTCGAGTAAAGTGATCATCTAATAAATTGGTATTTATCAATTAAGCTAAACTTTAGTAATTATTAGTATTTTTATTTCCTTATTTATATATAATCTATTAAAAAGCTATGACTTATGAGAAAAGATGGTTAACGAATTACCTAATATTCAAACCGATTCCCTCTTTATTTCTTTATACATTCTCTTGTTACACAAAGATACTACTAACATGGGCCAGTTGTTTTTACATCTCGATTTCTGATTTGAGAAACATAACCAAATGGGTAACAAAAAGCATCACTTGACCCTGCAAATTCCACCTAAAAAGCAACGTAGTGTTTACCACTTCCCTTCTGTCTCTCTCTGTGTTATGCTACTTCCTTTTTTTCTACAAACAAATTTGGTTCACTCTTTGTCCCTTTGTCAAGTCTTCTCATCCACCACTTTCTCTTTTGACCAAACCCTTTATTTTTCCCCCTCATTGGTCTATGAGAGATTCTCATACAATCTTCTTTCTGTTCATGCTTTGTCTCATCTCACAACCCTTAATTAACCACCACCACAAATACATTGATCATAATGGTAGGCCTCTACTCAACCTTTAATTTTTTTTAGTTGATAAGCATGTTTTCTTCTAAAATTATATATATAATAAAGATTATACAGAAACGGAAACAGAAAAGTGTTCAACAGAAAAGTGTTCAGTTATTTATTTTTAGATGACAAAACTAATCATTTAAAAATTTTGATGTCGTAATTTTTTTATATTGTAACGAATTGTAGCCAAATATATCTGATACAACTTCAATTGTGATTGCGCTACTATTCTTAAAAACAAAAAAAATTATGATGCGTCGCCACCAAGGTCATTAAACCACCTCCATCACCATTAATGGGAATGATTCATTTCACTTTATTTCCATGTGTGCATGTCTCATGCACGTATATAATTTGCAATATGTCATGATGAGTGTCTCAAGTATACAAAGAGTAACTTGATTTTGGGTCAATTTTGGCTTTTAGATTGTTTAATGTCTCATATGCATTTTATTGTGATTAATCCTACTTAAGAGTGTCCTCAAAATACAAATAAATATTGTGGTTAAGAATTGAACTCTGTTTCAATAACTTACACTCATCTATCTTAACTAATTGAACTATCGCCTCTATTCTGAAGAATAAGATATTAAATTAGTTTTAATTCTAGTATATCCTTTTTTCATTTTAACTTTAGTAACTTTTTGTCCTTCAATCGATTTATCTATATATATATATATATATATATATATATATACTCTTGCTATCCAACTCTCCACCTAAGTCCCTAACAAACATTCTCACTCCGTCTTCAAATATCTCTTTCCCTTTCCCAAACCAAACCAACACTTTTTTTCCAACTTATAATTCTCCTATAGCTCCTCAAAATGTCAATCAAAAGCAAAAGAGTATGCTTTAGTCCTAATGTCAATGACATACCAACAATCTTCCTCAAGAAAAGAGAATTCGGAAGAGAAAATTTCAAGTTCACAACAGAATCAAAATTGTCATCACCACTGAAATTCTTAGTGCAGCTAGGAACAAAGGTTGCAAGTTCTATAAAAAGTGTTTCCATGAAAAGAAGATCTTCTAGGAAGGTTTCTTCTTCATCTACTTTGGTAAGGTCACGATCCATTTCAGACCTTACAGATTCACATAGAGCTGAAACTGTTGAAGATTGTATTGAGTTTTTGCATTCTTCTTCATCTAGGGAGAGACCAAGTTTCAGTTGAATATTGTTTGAGATTTTGTATCTTTAGAGAAAAAGTGTATGGTTCAATGTTTATTAATTTGGATTAACATGTTTTAGGTTAGTTGATTAATATAGTTTGAGTTGCAAATTGTATTGGTGCATTTAATAGAATACAATTCTTCATGTTTTGAGGAGTTCAAAGAAGAACTTTGTTAAATTTAAAGTTGAAATTACATGCAACCCAATACGATGAAATTTGCCACTCAACTTTAAATGAATTTCAATTATCTAACGAAGTGAAAGTGTTTAGGAATTTGTGTTGAAGATTTTTTTTTAAAAATAGGCGTGTTAAAAAATATGTTATGATGTCATATTGTATATTATAGTTAATTTAAACAAGTGAGATTCAACTTACTTAAATTTTTTTAATTTACTTTAAATCATAATTTTTAAATAAAATTTAATTGAATAATTACTTAAACAAAAATATTAAATTAATAATTAAATTTAATTTAATTTAAAGACTATGATTTAAATTAAATTAAATAAATTTGCTTTTGGAATAAGTTGAACACTACTAAGTATATTTACAAAATCTATAAATTGATAGTTAGTTGAAATTAGGTTTTATTTTATATAGAGATAGTTTAGGTTTTCTATAAGTTTATTTATTTAAAATAATATTGTTAAAATTTGCGAATAATTATTCAGAGTATAAATACATCAAAAGAATTTAATGTATGGAGACAAAAATTAATGACAATAAAAAATTGACATTTAATAAAAATAATTTTTTTTTGCAATAAGGCACCAATTTTAATAAAAAAATTGACATTCGACAAAAATAATTATTTGTGTAATAAGACACCAATTTAATTTAGTAGAAGAAGATAAAGTACAGACAATAAACACAATAACTTGTTTATCAAATTCGATCAAACGATCAACTATAGGAAAGTGATTAGCTCTTCGATACTATACTTCCAAGATTTATTAAAAAAGATTACAAATGAGTTACAAGAAAATAGTGACCCAAGTTTTCAAGATAAACCCTATTTCTATCCAAGTGTTTCATAATCTCTTCAACTCTATTTATGAATCTCACAAACCCAAAGTATTTAGAAATATATCTCAATCTCCTTAGATACTCCTAAAAGTTTCCCCCAACTTTTGCTTCCCTAAGTTTTCCCCTATGATTCTTGTGAGATATTGGATCGAACTCTAGTATGATCGAAGGTAGCTTATTGGTTCGTCAGTTCGACAGATGTTTAGCATGCAATCGAAGGTCGTTCACATGCTGTTGTCGAAGTAGTGCATGTTGTAGTCGAAGTAGGATCAAACATACAGTTGTCGAAAATGCTAGATTTGTTAGCATGACGAACTGAACTTGTTTGTTATATCTAATTGTTTAAGTTAGCTTGTAATGGATAATTGTTAAAAATCCCATTAGTTTAGTATGTTAGGTTTTATTATAAATAGCAAACTAGTCTCTAATCTTAAGTGTGACAAATCCTAATTACGATGAGAGGGTTATTTGTTATTCTTGAGTACTTATAATCAAATTTAAAGAGAAAATAAAGAATAAAAGTTATAACAAATTCTTGTTGTTGTTCTTCTTTTACCATTTTTGCTACCCTTGTGTGTTTCTTGATCATAAAGAAACATTTTATAAATTATTTACAAGACATCATATTTCACAAGAAATTGGTGCGGTGAAGATGAAAGCCCTACTAGTTCAGCAGGGTTGTTTGGAAGCGTTAAAGAGAGCTGCAGCCAACGGAAAAACAAAGAACGAGTATGGTAGAGAAAGCCCACATCGTCATCTTATTGAGTCTTGGTGATAAGGTTCTATGACAGGTTTCAAAGGAGACGACGACGCCGAGGTTATGGGTGAAACGCGAACGTTTGTACATGACCAAATCGTTGGTCAATTGCCTCTACCTAAAACAAGCTATGTATTCATTTAAGATGAGTGAAGACAAAGTTTTAGTTGAGCAGTTGGGTATGTTCAACAAGATTATTCTTGATCTTGAAAATATCGATGTCAAGATTAATGATGAATATCAAGCGATGTTGTTGTTGTGTGTTTTGCCCAGATCACATGCTCACTTCAAATAAACTCTCTTGTATGAAAGAGAGTCTCTGACCTTTGAAGAAGTTCAGTCAACACTGTATTAGAAGGATTTGAACGAATGAAAGGAGCATAAGCCATCTTCGACTAGTGAAGGCCTGTCGGTCAAGGCAAAACTCACAAAGAGAGATGACAAGTTCGATAAGAAAAAGGGTAAAAATCAGTAAAAGTCTTATAGTGGTGATGCATCTGGCATTCGATGTTATCACTGTAAGAAGAAGGGTCATACAAGAAAAGTGTTCCTTGAACGCCTGAACAATCATGGTGGAAAGGATAATGGTAATGCAACCATTGTGCAAGACGATCATGAATTATCTGATATCCTTGTGGTTTCAAGCAACAACTCAAGAAAGGAGTGGATTATGGATTTAGGTTGCACTTGGAACATGACTCCAAACAAAGACGTGTTTGAGGAATTATGTGATCCAGATGATGGATCAGTACTACTGAGAAGCTACAAAGCTTGCAAAATTGCAGGTATTAGATATGTGAGATTTAAGCTCCATGATGAGTCAATAAGACTATTGGTTGAAGTCAGGTATGTACCTGATTTGAAGATAAATTTGATTTCTCTTGGTGAATTCGACAAGAAGGGATATGTTTTTCAAGGAGAGAAAAGTATCCTAAGAGTCATGAAAGGGTCGAAGGAAATCTTGAGAGGCATGAAGAAATAAGACTTATATACCCTTGAGGCTGAAGTTGTAAGTGGTTCGACAAATGTTGCATCCATAAAACCTTTGTCGAAGACATAAATTTGGCACATGAGATTAAACCATATTAATGAAAGTGGTCTGGTCGAATTGGGGAAACAAAATCTGCTTAGTGGAGAAAAAGTTGAAAAACTAAATTTTGTGAACCCTGTGTACTTGGAAAACCTTGCAGAGTGAAGTTCAACAAAGGCAAATAAAGAACACATGGATCCCTTGATTACATCCATGCTGATCTTTGGGGGCCTGCAAGATATCCATCATATTCAGGCGCAAGGTATTTTCTATCCATAGTTTATGATTATTCCAGAAAGTTATGGATATTCATCCAGAAGACTAAGGATGGAACTTTTAAGAATTTCAAAGGTTGGAAGACTCTGGTTGAAAATCAGACTGGCAGAAAGGTCAAGAGGTTGAGAATTGACGATAGCCTTAAATTTTGCAATGAGGCGTTCGACAACTTTTGTGTTGCCTCAGATATTGCAAGGCACAAAACTATTGCAGGTACTCCATAACAAAATGGTTTGGCAGAACGGTTTAATCGAACTAATTTGGAAAGAGTTAGATGTATGTTGACTAGTGATGGGTTAAAAAAGGTGTTTGGGGCTGAGGCTATTTCGACAACAACATATCTGATAAATAGATGTCCTTTGACTGTGTTAGATATGAAGACACCTGAAGAAGTTTAGTCAGGACATCCACCAGATCTCGATAAATTGAGAGTATTTGGCTGCATGGCCTATGCTCATATTAGGCAAGACAAGGTCGAACCTAGAGCTCAGAAATGCATGTTCATGGGATACCCTAAAGAAGTTAAAGCTTATAGGCTATGGTGCCTAGAGCCAGGTCACAGGAGGTGTATCACCAATCGAGATGTAATTTTCAATGAAGCTGAGATGGCCTTCAAGAAAACTGATGATGCTGACGAAGAGCTAGAATAGTGAGAGATTCATGTTGAGGTGGAGCATGTTGATGCTGAATTGCGTATCCTAGATGAAATCGAAGGATATGTCGACTCTGATTATGCAGGTTGTATGGATTCGAGAAAATTTATTTCTGGATATGTGTTCACTATGTTTGACACAACAATTGTAACACCCCAATCTAACCCGGCGAATAATTAAGGAAAGCAGAATCAGAGTGCAATAAATTTTGTAAACATGACGGTCGTAAGGGGCTGTCACGACCGTGACGGTCATGACGATCATAAGGAAGTTGTGACGACCGTCACATCAACAAATTCTGGGCGTTACAATTTTAACTCACAGAAACATACATTTCACAATTCCATTAAACAACATGCATTTAGTAATGATACATAACACAGAAGCTTGGATGAACATGCAACAATAACTTGATTAACATTTTGATTACAAGGCATCTTATTAATTTGCAGCGGAATATAAAACATTTCCAACATTTAGCATGATTAAAGCAAGACCATGAAACTTGCAACAAAACTTCATTAAAATTCAGCAAGTAATTATCTTGCATCAATTCAACATAAACAACGAGTTTCAACCATAAAAATCAGCACTACTAATTCATCGGTATAGTGCATCTAACCAACATTTGGCACTTAACATCAGCCATCAATTTAATGAAAAATACTTGATAAAATTCAGCAACAAGGAATTCAATTAAAACAAAGACATTAATCGTTCATCCCCCCCAGAGTGCTACGTATCAGAGCGACCAACGACCTTAAACATAAAGCGACACTTTCTTCCGAGTTACCTGCAAATTACCACTAACGGAGGTAACATACAACGTAAAGGGTGAGATATCAACAATATAACATAAGGCATGATAAAAGTCATGTCAGAATATTATCACAACATTATAATTCCAGCAGTTCGCATAAATATTAGTAATAATAAACTACAACCACTCTTTATTCATAACCATAACAATTATCATCATATCTCAGCAACTCATCAAAACAACTCAACAACGCAACTCAATAATGCGACTCAACAATGCAACTCAACTGTGCGACTCAACAATGCAACTCAACTGTGCATATGCATGTGGTATCATTGGGGGCCAACACCCCAAAACTCGAGATAGGAGCCAACACTCCAAAACCCATTTAGGAGCCAACACTCCAAAACCCATTTAGGAGCCAACACTCCAAAACTCGGGATAGGAGCCAACACTCCAAAACCCATTTAGGAGCCAACACTCCAAAACTCGGGATAA